TTTTTTTTTTTTTAAGATTTTACTTATTTATTATGTATACAACATTCTGCTTCCATGTATATCTGCACACCAGAAGAGGGCACCAGACCTCATAACGGACGGTTGTGAGCCACCATGTGGTTGCTGGGAATTGAACTCAGGATCTCTGGTAGAGCAGTCGGTGCTCTTAACCACTGAGCCATCTCTCTAGCCCCTTCTTTTCTTATTAGTAAAATGACCCAGTGAATTTTATAGTTTATAGGAGCATGAGCACTTTACCGGTGCCTTTACCACCAAAAAAAAAAAGTTTCTTCCTCCTCAATCAACCACTGTGTGTACAAATCCTCAGAGAAGGGTGATGCCCCATAAGCCCCTGCCCTCTTCATGACAGGCTGTTTTTGATAGACCTAATCTTGGTCGTCAGTTCAGCTGCTGTGAGTTCAGTAGAGCAACAGCCATGCCATTCCAGAAGTCAGCATTCCACACTATCTGTACACACAACATTAACCACTTAACATTCTGTCACTTCCATGATGCTTGGAAGCCTTGGAGTTCTGAATGCATCCAGTGTCACACTTCCTCCTTGGTTTCATGAACAGATCTTGATCTCCAGTGTAAAGGACTTATTTCCTTGTTTATGAATTACATCCCTCTGATTGTAACTTTTTTAGGCAAAGAAAAGTAAAACCAAAATGCCATCTTTGGTAAAGAAGTGGCAGAGTATCCAGCGGGAGTTAGATGAGGAAGATAATTCAAGTTCCAGTGAAGAGGACCGGGAGTCAACTGCTCAGAAGCGCATCGAGGAGTGGAAGCAGCAGCAGCTGGTCAGGTAGGGAGGGGGGTCCTGTGTGGGAGGGAGGGAGGGAGGGAGGGGAGGGAGAGGGAGGGAGGGAGGGAGGGAGGGAGGGCTTCCCTGGGGCTTGCTTCTGTGTGCTTAGTGACAGTCTTACAATTACAGTCCTTTGTGAAGAATGTATGGCTCCTTGGCTGAGAAAATGTAAACATTTTCTTGAATGGACTTGAGATCCAAGTTTCAGTTACAGTTTTTATTTCTTTAAAAAAAAATAAAGTCTGTTCTCTTTCCAGTGAAAAATAACCTGCAAATTGTTTTCACAGTGGCATGGCAGAAAGAAATGCTAATTTTGAAGCCCTTCCCGAGGATTGGCGAGCAAGACTGAAGAGAAGGAAAATGGCCCCCAACACATAGTTTTAAATTAAAAAAAGAAAAAAAAAAAACTTTTTGTTTCGTGTTATGTTCAGTCTTAACCAGTTTTAAACTGCTGTCAGATGAACTGTAAATGTTATGAGGAAGAACATACATTTCTGGGCAAGAACATGTGCATTCGAAGTTGTCCATTTATGAAGTGTAGTTTTTCTGTTTGCTGAAGATGAGGTGATTGGAATTGCTTTGCCCTGCTGTCTCTTCACACTGGCAAACTTAGCATGTTAGGTATGAGCCAGTCTTGAACATGTGAGTCGTCAGCATGAAACCTCTGTAGAGGACTCACTGGCAACAGTGAAGGGCTTTTCTGCCCAGTGGAGGCTTGTTTAGTTCCTGGTGTGACACTTTCCTTACCTTCTACTCCAGAACAAGTGCAATTAAGAAGGCAGCTCTGTATCCTTCCTTGCTTGACTATCGGGATCTTTCTGACCTCCTCCTCGAGTCTGCTGCCCCTCAAGTGTTGAGAACTGTGCTGACAGCCACACTTTCCCAGAAATCCTACAGCACTCTTATTTACATACAGCAGGAGTAGCAGCAGCAGGTGTTCAGATCCTTGATTTTGAGAAATCCACCCCCTAAGTATGTGGTAGTAAGTAAAATAAGCCACTTTGTGCTTTGTCTTCATTGTCTTACCGCTTCAAAAATTGACCTTCCTTCTATGTGTGGGGATATTCACCATAGATTTTGGTATTTAAGAAGCAGTTCACTGTTGTATACTTTCTGTTGTATTGCAATCAGGAAAGGTCACTTTAAACTGAAGAAAAAAACAAATTGTGTCTTAAAGCTGTTTGTATTTCTCCAGTTTCAGACATTGTAAATTTGTATATATGCACTAATAAAACTTTTTATACTTGTGACTGGTTATCCTTTTGCTCTTCTAAGCATGTTACCCTACAGTTACATAACCAGGACCTAGTGTATGTCCATTCTTACTTGTTCTAACCAAACATGGTACAGAGCACACACTGACATTTGAACATCAGGAAAAAGCAGCCTCTTGGAGATATAGGGAGATGGGTTTTAAAACAGACAGGCCTTTCAACAAGATGGTGCCGAGGGGCACTTCTGGAGCTTGCATCCCGCTAATAACTGATATTTATAACTTACCTAAGTCCTGGGAACAATGTGATAATGGCTGACATTTTGGGAGGAAAAGGTGCTTTCTAGCTTTTTTATAAGTAATACAAAGCTGATTATGGAAAAATAATACTTTATAATCACAATAGTTAACCAAAGACAATAGTTTGGATTTTATTCTAGTATATTCCTATGCAGTTAATTTTTTTTTTACTTTGTATTACAGTGTATTAGATTTTATTTATCATGTGCTAATGTTGAGATGCCCATTTTGTACATAAAATTGTTTTGTAATTTGCATAGAGTTAAATTTCTACAAATAAAGATTATCAACTAGCTATTAAAGCTTTTGTCTTACTTAACAGTTTTCCAGGCATGTAGGAGTTGCTGGAGAACACCAGCCTCCTTACTGTCCTGCAGTTGGGCACATAAGGGAATTGATTGACCAGGTTTGGGGTGGTTTGAGTTAATCGCCACCTTTGTTTCTTTGTTTTTTGGTGTAGATTTTTTTTTCCCCATTCTATCTAGAAGGTAGAGAATGAGGAGTGAGTATTTGGTAGCTGGCATGTATCATCACTAGTTGGGAAGACGTTCTAGTCTGCAAGTCTGGCCCTGAGTAGTTTAACAGATTCTGGCCCCAGCTTTTATGAGGCAATTCACTTTTTGTTGTGAAAGATCTATTTTATGTGTATGTATGTTTTGTCTGCGTGCACATCTGCAAACCAGAAGAGGGCATAGATCCTATCTATAGGAGTAATCAGTTATAGATGGTTGAGCTGCCATGTGAGTGCTGGGAATTGAACTCAGAAGAGAAACCGATGCTCCAGTCACGACAAGATTCACTTAAAATAGGACATCTTTAACACAAGTGTTTGAACAAGAGTCATAAAGTAACAGTGGTTTGGAGAGATGGCTCAGCAGTTGAGCACTTGTAGCTCTTCCCGAGGACCCAGGTTTGGTTTCCAGTACCCACAACGGCCTGTAACTCCAGCTCTAGGAAGATCTCTTAACTCAGTGGTCACTTGCAGTCATATGCACAAACACACAAAAACAATTTTTAAAAAGAGGGTAGGAGTTGGTGGCGCATGCCTTTAACCCCAGCTCTCGGGAGACAGAAGCAGGTGGATCTCTGTGAATTCTTTGCCCTGTGGTCTGGAGACCACTTGCCTGGTCTCCAGAGCAAGTGCCAGGATAGGCTCCAAAGCTGCACAGAGAAACCCTGTTGCTCCAAAGCTGCACAGAGAAACCCTAATAAATAAATAAATAAATAAATAAATAAATAAATAAATAAGGGCTGGTTTGATAACCTAATAGGTTTGTTTGGCAAGCCTGTCCCTGCTGGTCTCTGGAACCCACAAAGGTGGGAGGGAAAAATTGACTTCACAAAGTTCTTTGCCTTACACCTGTCCACATAAATTCTGCACACGGAAAGTAAATAAAGGGGAGGATTCCTCGAGAGATAGCTCAGGAGTTAACAGACCTTGCGGCCCTTTCCCTACTTCAGGCAGCTCACAACCGCAGGGAACTAGCTCCTTGGGGATCTCAAGCCTTCTGGCCTCCCCGACATCTGTGTGCATGCACACACACAGAGGGAAATCAAGAAAAGGTGGAAAGGAAAATACTTTAAATTTATCAAAAGTAGAAGAAATGATGTAAAGTAGAATGCGCCTGATTCCTAGGACTGATCTCTGCTTTTCCTTTTTGAATAAACTTTTGGTTGTTACAGCTCCATCCTTCCCGACCCTTAACCCATAAAGGAAACAAAGCTTCAGTCCCCTTGAACAAAGTAAATTACTGAAACTACAGAAGCCAGAAAGAGGGCGAAGGCTCCTGGCACTGGTACTGTTGACAGTACCCAGACTGGGTCTGGAAAGTTTGAGATGAATGAATGAATCATTAGTGTGTGAAACACAAATTGCCTGACATCCCAGGGCTCGCAACATCCGTAGGTTGAGGGCGGGGTCCTGCCCTCCTTCCGCTTCTGGCTCCCGGTTGCTAGGCTGCCAGGGTCCGCGCGGAAAGCTCCAGCAGGTGAACTGAGGGACTGGGCCTGCGAAGGCTCCCAGACGGGATCCCAGGTGGGAAGGAGGTGAAAAGAGTAGGGGTTGAGGAGGGCAGGAGGTGACAAAGATAGGGGAGTGAGGAGAGGGGGGATGAGAAGAGCGAGGGGGGGAGGGGGGCGGGGGAGGGGGTTAGGGA